AATAATAATAAAAAAAATAAATCATACATTACTCCACATGAAGAGAAACAGCAATGCAGTCAGGGGGTGAATCTGAATGCCCCACTCACAAGTAAGCCCAACCAGATGAAAAAGAAACAAAGTTTAGAGTTAAATTGTATTATGCATCAAACAGATGGGAGACATATCTACATTATCTTTCATGCAATATCTGATTGGGCATACTTTTCAGAGTTCTGTGAACATTTTTACAAAAGAGACCACATTTTTGCCTAAAAAGCCAACCTCATTAAATATAAAAAACTGAATGACTTTGTAGATGTTATCAGATCACAGTAGAATAAAATTAGAAAATATCAGCTAAAAAATCTGTAGAAATTACCTACACAAAAAGAGATTCAAAAATGTACTTCAATTCCAGTTGTTCAATGAGAAAAACAGGAGAGAATTTTTAATAATTCCTTGAAGAAAATTATAACGAAAAGAAGACATATCAGAACCTGTTGGGGACAAATAAGCTACTTTTATGGCTGAAGTTTATAACTACTAGTGTCTACCTAAGAAAAGGGTTATTTCAAGTACATATCACATATGTATATATAACACATATAAATATCCTAGTAAAATTAGAAGAAATAAAACTAAAAACCAGTAAAAATGAAATGATTAGTACCAGAAATGAAATTAACAGAAATGAGATTAAAAATAAAGAAGTCAGTGTTTATGTCACTTTACAGTTGAGTTTTGAACAGGGAAAAAGCTACTGAAAAATCCCTAGCCAAACTTACCAAAAGAAAGAGAAAAAAGAACTGCAATAATAAAATTAGAAATAAAAAAAAGTAACAACAGACAGACACAGCTGAACTCTCGAGAATTATTTGAAGCTATTTGTAAACTTGTACTCCAATAAACCCAAAATTGAGAAAAAATGTTTAGATACATATGACCTACAAAATTCGCATCGACAAGATGAAAAATGATCTAAAGAGACCAATAACAAGCAGTGATATTTATGCTATATTACAACTGTGGCAAACTAAGAAAACCTGATTGAATTAAAGCTTGATAAGTTTTACCAGACCTTTATGTGAAAGATATTGTAATAATAAGGAGACAACTATGAAAATTATTAGCATGTAAGTTTTATGAAAGACTATTAATAAAAACTGTTCTTTTTTTATTTTCTAGACACTATACAAAATTAATTTTCTCAATGTTCTATAAGGCTAAGAGAATTTCTTTAGAAATACTACATATAGTAACATTTTATAAGACAACACAATTAATCTTCTGCTGTAATAATGCCATGTATGAGGCAGTGATTCTTGCAATCTTGACGTATAAATTCCCCCCGTAGAATAATGCTAATTGTATTCAATTAATTTGAGACTTATTACAGAAAGAAATCATAAGTTCTTGGAAAAATAAATTCCTTGAGTCATCATTTACAGGTTTGTAAATGTAGAATTGAGAAGTGTGGGACGGGGACTATTCTCAGAGGGATCTAGGGAAATGCCACTCTGAGAGATGCACCAGTGACTGTCCTGTGTCTGCAACAACTGTGCTCAGCCTGGGATTAATGTCCTTCCGAATTTATGGACAGTAGAAGTACTAGAGGAGTTTGACATCCTCACTGGAAGCAGACTCCTGTTTTAGCCTAGGTAACAGCACAAGAAAACTTATGAGTCCCTGTAATTGGTATGTCAGCAATTAATTTACATCCAAATGGTTACCTATTGATGAAAATATCATACATATAAACATACAAATACCCCACATTGTTTTAGAGATTTCTCATGACTATTTCTTATTATCTTTTTTAAATTAATTGAGTTTATTGGTTCATTTTAGGTATACGCAACAATCACATTCATCACACGGAATCTGTACCTGCACCTGATATAACTTGACTCTTTTTTCCCCATTCCCCTACATTTCCTTTAACCTCTCAGTTTTTCTTTATTCTGCATATGAAGCTTCAATCCCAGACATAAGCCGCTCCTCTCATTGAGATTGCTCAAGCTACACAAGTGAATAAACCATGTATGGAATGGAAAAAATTGTTCATCTTCTAAAGCACCTATGAGTTGTTTTGTGAAGCTGTGTGTGTGTGACTGAGTGTGTGTGTGACTGTGTGTGAGTGTGCGTGTGTGCAAAGCAAGGGCAAGAGGAGGGATACAAAGCTGTGTCATAGAGTATTCTCTAGTTACCTAGGCGGAGTCATGTCCTTTTCCATATATTTTTAGCTATTGCTTCATTATTCAAACACGCTGAATAAACTTTCATCCAGAGCTTGGCTGGCAAGTAAACCATAATCAGCATCCTGAAATCAAAGTTTACACGTGCATGTGCCATCCCTATCCTGAACAGAAATCAAAAATCCCCCTGTGAATAACCATTAACCTTCAAACTTCTGGAGAGATTATGCTCCTGGACTTGAAAACCAAACAAAAGAGAGTTTGTCTCCTCAATCCCTATTAACAATTAATGCAATGCTCTTACCATATTGTGCTCTGTTACTCTCTTTTGCTTCTCAGTACTACTCTGTCCAACTTTCTGACACCCTCTATTGATGGAATCCTTTGAAATATTGTACACACCTTTTCTTTATTACTGCAAAAATTTCTGTCATCATAATCAGCAATGATCCATACAAGAATTGCTTCTCTCAGTTTGATGGCTCCATGTCATTTTTCACGCTGTCTGTGGACACTGGGGTCATTTACTATCCAAACTATATCTGGAAGTAACCTAACAATGTCTTTGGTTCATAGAGGTAAACAGATAAAAATCTACACATCTCTCTTTACTACAGATTTATTTTCTATTTACTGTTTCCTAAGACAGTAATTTTCAACACTATGCAAATAGGAAACTAAAATTAAAATCTCAGAGCGCTGTCAGATTCAGCATTTTCTGTCAGCGCTACTTTTCTCTATCTCCTCAAAATCAATGCAATTTACGAAGTGTTCTCATGAATGCATCTGTCTCCATTAAACTCTTTGGGACCTATCCCCATTTTTGACTCTAGAAGCTTGAAAGACTGAAAGAGTCTCCTTAGTGATTTCCATGACTGGCTTCCCATCTCTCCACTCCAACACCCATATTACAAACACAGATGATTTTAGCAAAGCACTTGAGTCATTTCCCCCTTCACCCTAAGTAGAGCAAGAACCAGTATCACTACACCAACATGATGGGGGAAATAAATTCAGAGGGCCTTGTTCAAGGGATACATTAAAACCTCTCTCTTATTGAAGCTGCAGTCTTTGAAGAAAAATCAAGTATTTTAAGGAACATGAAACATTCCTTATCATAGACTTACCGGAGGTAGAGGTTTGGCAGGTTTGCAGTGCATTCCTCCAACAAATTCAAAGTTAGGCAGGTATGGACGAGGAAATTCAATATCCCAGTATGTCCGAATAAGCCAGATTTCAGCTTTACCCATGATCTCACATAGTGTAGTGGGCCTTCCTGAAGAAATTGAATTTCACGTGGAGGACATGAACACATTTAGTTACCGATGAAAACATTACCAGTAATTTCCTTACAAGCAATTATGAGAAAAATTAGGTCTTTTTGAATACTCCTATGTTAAAATGGAGAAAGAGAGGCAGGAGGAAGAGTGGGAGGGGGCGGACAAGACGTGCCACAGAGGGGGGAGTAGAGGATTAAGGGTAGTGGAAGAAAAGAAATACGCAATTATCATTTAATACCAAGACCCAAAAATCAAATATGCCGACCGAAACTGCGAAGTTTACTCTAAATTTTCCTCCCTAGTTAAATGGCAGAAAAGAGATGAGCTCCATCACATAAACCTCAAGTCACCTCACAAGGACTTCCTAGTTTCCATGTAAGACAGTGCATTTTTTTGACAGATTTTTTTTTTTTATTTTAAAGAGAGTAGTAAATGAGAAACAACCAAAGAAATAGAACAGTAGCAGCATACCAGTATCACAAAGATAAACAAATCAAAGCAAGAACATTTAAAGTGATACAGAGTCTCAGGACAAAATAATACGAATCAACAGTTGTTAAGTTACATACCACTATTCTCAACTACTTTGCTCAGATTACCAGATATAAGAATGAAAGATTGGTAAAACCATTATAGAGAATAAGAAATGAACAGTTAATGATTACACGTTTTTATGTTCTGCTCGATTGTGTATGCTTGTGTCTGGTGGTCTGAGCAACTGATTTGAAGGTAACAATATGCAATGGAATTACAATGGTGAATTCCTACTATTTTGTCTAGTGAAACTCTGTATTATCTCTACTGTTTTACTGAATAATTGTTTTACAGGTTTTATAGTGGGTAGTCACACAGACTGATGAGACATCCAACCAAGCAAGGTCCATCATTTCTTCTTGAGTCAAATCTCATCTCCTAAGCTAATTTATCATTATTTCTTCAATAAAAATAACAATTCTCTCACTAAATCAGACTCACCATGAACCCATTGGGGATGTGACATATGCACATAGATATCACCAACATTACACACTTAAACACTCTTACTGTTAAATGGTGGTTTTTGCAAAGGACATTAGTTTCATAGTTTCGTGAGGAAGAATGTATGTTTGTGAGTAACGAAGGAAACCACTTCCATACATGAAAATTTGTTCTCAAATGGAAAAAAAGACTTGAGTGGAGAGTCCTTTCTTATTTATGGACTAGTTAGGAACAGCAATGAACATATACAGCAAAAGCAGATGGCTATTTTTAGTCCTCATGTAATAATTATTGAATATATGCATAAACTTATATCACCTCATGCTTATTTTGATAATGAAGAAGTACTGCTCCAGAACACTCAGCTTGGAACCAAACATTGCATTTGAATTTCTTTTTTTTTTTTTTCCTGTTTTTCTTCCAGTACCAGGAATCGAACTCAGGACCTTGTGCTTGCGAGGCAGGCGCTTTGCCGCTGAGCTAAATCCCCAGCCCCTTGAATTTCAAGTTATATTTCAGAAATAATTGTTTATGCCATCTAGATGCCTTACATCAGGTGTGCTATAGCCGGCCTGGATTGTTAATGCCGTATGTGCATTTGATGTGCATAAACTTTGCATGACATTTAGAGAAAGTCTTCCTTAAAGTAGCCATTAAAATTTTATATTTAAAACACTGGTTCACAGCTGCAAACATGAAGTCAAGAAAGCCTATAGAAAAGAAGTTTTACCAAAGATATAAAAATGTTGGCAAATAATTTCACATACAGTTTAAAATTACATTTAGAAAT